AGAAGTCTGCTGGTCAACACACAGGTTAGTTTTGCAATTGACCGGGTGTACCAATTTCTGACAGTAGACTTCAGTTGAAGTCTGCGTCATTTCCTTTGACAACAAAAAAAATAGTGTAAACTTCAAAAGAAGTCTACGTAAAAAGGGGTTAGTTTTGCAATTGACCAACCTTTGACTTTTTCGTAAGAAGTCTACTCGCAAAAATAGACTTCTTCGGAGAAGTCTACTTTGAACTTAGACTTCTTAGAGGTTAGTTTTGCAATTGACCAATGTTGACTTTTTCGAGTAGACTTCGCTTGAAGTCTACTTTTTCGAGTAGACTTCGTTTGAAGTCTATTTTTTTAGTAGACTTCAAAAAAAGTCTACTCAAAAATAAATTCAATGTTTGGTCAACCCCAAAACTAACCCAAGTAGACTTTGTTTGAAGTCTAGACTTCAAAACGAAGTCTACATTGAAAAGTCAACATTGGTCAATTACAAAACTAACCTCTAAGAAATCTACTTTAAAAGTAGACTTCTCCGAAGAAGTCAAAGTTTGGTCAATTGCAAAACTAACCTTTTTTTACGTAGACTTCTCGAGTAGACTTCTATAAAGAAGTCTACTCATCTTTTGGCAATTGCAAAAGTAACCTAAAATATAGACTTCATACGAAGTCTACATTTGTAGACTTCATTGCAAGTCTAATTTTGTAATCTTCGTTGTTAGTATACTATTTCACTTTTTTTTTAAAAAAATGCATTTTTATCAAATTTACAACGAATTATTAAGATTTTTTTGGTCTTACAATTGTTTTAGTAAGTGTACTTACATTTGTATCATTTTTACATGTTTATATTATATATGTATTTGGTGAAATCAAATTTCTTGTTTTATTTGGTATTTAGCTTATTAGTCCGTAGACTTCGTTTGCAGTCTGCGATATTAATTTTTTTATTAAATTAATTGATCAGATATTTGTAACAAATAAAATTTATTTTTTGACTCTTAAGTGTGTATTATCTATTGTTCTTGTTTATGTAGGAGTTTGACATGCTTATTTGTTATTGTTTAGCTTTAATTAATTTTTTTGTTCTAATTGGTATTTAGCTTATTAGTCCGTAGACTTCACTTGAAGTCTACATAGTAGACTTCGTTTGCAGTCTAGGACATTAATTTTTTTATAAATTTAACTGATCAGATATTTGTAACAAATAAAATTTATTATTTGACTCTTAAGTGTGTGATATTTATTGTTCTTGCTTATGTTTGAGTTTGAAATTTTTTTTGTTACAGTTTAGCTTTAACTAATTTTCTTCTTTTATTTGGTATTTAGCTTAATAGTCCGCAGACTTCATTTGAAGTCTACATAGTAGACTACGTTTGCAGTCTACTTTTTTGACAATGATTTCTAATGTGGTTTGAATTTTGTTTTCTTACAGAGAATGGTTCACATACCCACTGTTTATTGAGAATGTGTGAAGAAATACTAGTTGTGGTATTTCTAAGTAGTTTTACATGTTTTTTTTGTTATGAGTTTTACATAAATTGAATTAATTTTCTTGTGTTATTAGAGGTTCAAAGATGGTGATGACTAAGTCTGCCAAAGAAATCTGCATATGAAATCTGAATATGATAAAACACACACAATTTAAGAATATATAAAAATAACATTAATTGCAATCCAACTTTACATATAAAGTAGACCTTCTAATCAAACAAACATTTAAGGATCACTAATTATAAATCTTAAAATTAGCATATAAAAATAAAATGTCTGAAATAGATGTATGTGACTGAAGTCTGCTCGAGAAGTCTGCTCGAGAAGTCTACTCGAGAAATCTGCAGCTGAAGTGTGCTTACAACAAAAACAAAAGAGAAATAAATAAGCTCAGGTCTGCACAATAAGAATTTTTTTTTTTAAAATTCATATTTCAACAAAATATGCTATATTTACAAACATCATATCTGCAGCAAAAGGGAAAAAAAGTGATCAGCTATGCAACAAAAAAAATTATAGATCTGCAACAAAATAAACAAAATTCAGATCTGCAACAAAATAAACAAAATCAGATCTGCAACAACTAAAAATTCAGATCTACAAAAAAAAAAAAAATCAGATCTGCAACAACAAAAAAATCAGATCTGCAACAAATTCTACAAAATTTATACCATAAGAAGCGCATATTTGCAAGAATAAACTCAGATCTACAACAAGAAGCTCAAATATGTAATAATAAACTCAGATTTACAATATGAACACAAAACAAACAACAAAAGAAACACAAAACCTCAGATTTGCTTACCATCACCATAATTGAGATAGAGAGGATGGAGGATAGAGATGGGTTTGATGGCAAGAGAGGAAGGAGAAGATATTCATGGCTAGAGAGGAGGTAGAGGAGAGAGAGGCGTTTTTTAGAGGGAGAGAAAAACTTTATTTTTAACCCAATTAGGTTAATCTCCTTATATATGTAGGAAAATTTTTGGTTAAGTAGACTTCTCAGTAGAAGTCTACTCGAAAAGTTTATTTCAGTATATTTTTTCGATTTTGATTCCCGCCTAATTTGTTCCGATTCCCGCCCAATTTGTTACATAATTTTGATTTCCCGCTATGTTTTTTTTAAGTCTACTGGAGAAGTCTACCCGAGAAGTCTACTGCATACATATGTTTTCTGTAGCAGACTTCTTTAGTAGACTTCTAAGGGGTTGTATATTTTCTAGTTAATTTTCTTTATGCATTTAAGTTGATTCATTTGTATGAAATTTTGTATTCTATACATGTCAAATATATATGTCTTACTTATGTTTACCATTTTTTTAGAAATTTATTTATTTTATATTTTCTAATTAATTTTAAAAAAACTAATTATGTAGTAGACTTCTTTTGGAAGTCTACAACGATTGTAGACTTCTTACGTAGACTTCTCGAAGGATAAATTTTTAACTATGACAGACGTTTTTTGTTTAGTCACAAATGACTGAGCTGTAATTTCACTACCCCTTTGGGTTAGTTTTGTCAAACATTCAATAAGGGGTCTACATATTGAGAAAAAATCAACTTTTAGGTTATAAAGAGGAATTCCTCCTATTTACTTATCATAAGAGTGGGTAGATAGTTGGCCCGCACATTCGTGCGTACCAACCACCCCACCGCTCTTAGGACATAAAAAGATTTTTAAAAAATTATAAATTGTGTAACAACTAAAATTAAAATTAGAGTGTAATTGATGTTAACAAAATGTATGCACGACAAATTTGCATACAAATTTGACTTTTTCACAATTAATATTTATATCTACACACACATTTGTAAGAAAATCGAAGTATGACTTTTATGTGTTAAAAGAAAATAATGAAGTATATGTTTTGTAATATATATGTTTATAACTTATGGTTGATTTTTTTTTTAAATAATAATAAGTATATTTATACATGTAGGTATGAGTTAGAAATAATTGAATTGTAATATTTAGGTGTTGGTAAGTTTTTCTGATATTTTTCACAAACGTTTTGTTTTTACACGATGCAGTTATTGGCGTTTAACAACAATCACAAAAACCGTTTCTATCATTTTGTATTTAATCAAAATTTCTTATTTTTCAGCGTTTTATGATATATGGTTTTTCAATAAAAATATAATAAATATTTATTATAATATTTGTGAAATCATATTTTATAAAATTCTCTGGTAGCTCTCCGCTCATCTCTTCGTCAAATTTTTTATAATCCGCAATAGCTCGCTTCCACAAAATCTCTGCAAGTTAGCCATTTAAGCCAATCGGATCTAAACTTATATGTGTATGATTCAAGGTGTAAAATAATATATTTAATACTTGATTGTTATATTAAAAATTAAAAATTAAAAATTGATTTGTTCCTAACTTTAATATATTTGTTAATATAAAATATAATAGATCACAACATATACAAAACTTGATTCATAAAATAATATTTTAATATATTAGAAAAATATATGCATTAATGTGTGTAAGATAGTATTTTTAAATATTTAAATAAAAATATAAAATCCATCAAAATTATTCTTATTTTTTTTTATCTTCTTTGACTCATACTTTTTTTTCTTAACCTTTAATAATATATTTAACATTAAGATCATCTGAAATGTATTTTTCTATTTTTTCCTCTAAAATATAAGTAGACTACTCTCCAACCTATTTTTATTTTACAGAAAAAGAAAGATTATTATTTTTTTCCTCTATAATTGAAAGAAAAAGTAACAACCTTTCTTTTTTCTTTAAATTAGAAAATTTAAAATATATGTGAGTTAGAGATTCTTTAAATCAATAATATAGCTTGAGATTTTTACATAACACCAAAGTCGTAAAGATTCATTTTTACTTTTACTTCTACTTTTTATTCATATATACAATATTATAATAAAAAAGTTAGCTAAAAGGATACTTATAATTTATTTTTCTCTCTTTCTATTTCTTTTGTTTCATTTATAATTTTAAATTTTTGCTATATAATGAGAATTCACTCACATATGATATAATTTTTTTTACTTAAAAATAAGATTTATTTAGTTTTAACTTAATCAATCAAAATATTTTGTTGATCTTATGAAATTTGCCATGTCACATTTATAAGGTGGCATTGTTTTGCATTAATTTTTCTTTAGGTGTTGACACATAGAATTTTTTTTAGTAAACATGCTTCTCAAATAATAGTTAGGATAAGAAAAAAAAACTATAGAAATTATTATATATTCGATAGATGATAATGTTTTTATTTCCCGGTTTTTTTAGATACAAATACTTTAGTACATTTGCCAGCATAAAAGATGCTTTCCACCAAATCGATTCACACGATAACCTAAGCATTATTGACTTGTCTAAATTAGTCTATACGAATGAAATTAACTCGTTTCTCTCGCGTGTGTCGTTTTTCTAAACAAGTTGATCTAATTTAGTATATTGATCTAACTATTAATTTATTTTGATCGTGTGTTGCTCTACATATAGAACCCTTGACTTGAGGTGAATCAGAAGATCAAAAACCAAAATATGAGTCTAAGCTCCGAGCTTAAGGATCTAGAGGAGTTGACGTCCAATGCGAAGCAGATACAAGATGACATGTTGGATGAGATACTAAGAGTTAACGCAAACACAGAGTATCTTCGACGTTTTCTCCATGGGAGCTTTGATAAAGAACTTTTCAAGAAGAACGTACCGGTGGTGACTTATGAAGATGTTAAGCCTTATATCGAACGTGTCGCTAATGGAGAACCTTCAGATATCATTTCGGGCGAACCAATTACTCATTTCTTCCTAAGGTATACACTGAAAAATTACAAAAAGTAGATTTGTTATATGATTAATGGATCAACTAGTTATTAAGGTTTAAAAGTGTAATATTTGTGACCTTGTTGGTGTGTAGCTCTGGAACTACAGGAGGGAGACAAAAGATCTTCCCTGTAAACAACAAGTACTATGAGAAAACTATAATCGCCGAAATTCTAAACTCCTCCAATTTTTCCAAGTAACTCTTTACACACATATCTTATTATAAAAAGCTATGTTTCAAAGTTGCTAAATAACATAATCATTATACATATCAATTATATCAATCATTTCAACATGTATCAAAAAAGTCAACACATCAAAAGAGTATTATTACCAAAAGGAAATGAAAAAAAAAAATATATATATATATATATTATTACTATTATTTAGTCAAGAAAACTAAAAAGAAAAATCAAGAAAAAATAGTGTACACTTTCTATTTGAAATAAAATAACTAGAAAAAAGAAATATTTGAGAATGAAAAAAATCTATATGTAGTTCGCACAGCAAAAAAAAGAAAAATGTTATCGTATCATATTATGCATTATATTTGTGAGTTTTTATTTATTTGAAAAATTGCATTATTGATATTTAATATAACAATATGTATTGAAAATTTATCATGTTTTGTTATAAAAATTCTAGAAAATCAAAAAGTATATATTTTCTTTCTCATCAAGAAAGATAATATGCGGGTTTAAAAAACAAAAATATACATATAATTAATATAGAAATATAATTAAAATAGAAATATGGGAATTTATTTTAAAAATTTTGAAAAGAGATATAAATAGATAAATGAATATGAAAAAGCAAAAAATTAGAAATATGTGATGACATTTAATTAAAAACTGAATAATATAAGAACATATAAGAGAATCAAATTAAACTCTTTATAAGGGGTATTGTGTTGGTGTTTTCAATCTTATTCCATCTACATTCAAAGATGATCTAATTTCGTTTATAGTAGATATATTTAAAAAATAAATCACAGTCAAATATGATAAAAAGTTAAGTATTTTTAAAACAGAAATATTAGAATAAATTCTTAAGTTTTTTGAAAAAATTAATTTAGATATATAATAGAAACTACAACATTTAGAAATATATGACGAAATTTATAAAAAAAAGTCAAATTAGACTAGTTCGTGAGTGATTTTTCGTTGTTATTTTATTTATGTTCAAATGTGAAGTAAATTTTTTTTTTTTTTTTTGCTGAAAAGATTTTATGAAGTATATTTGTGATTTCCATCATGAAGAAGCCATCTCTTTAATTCCGATTTATAGGTATATAAATGGTTTCAAGGAAGGCAAGGTGATAGCACTTCTTACCACTAGACCATTATCCAAAACTACCTCAGGTTTACCTGTTGGTCCTGCGATTACGAGTTTAATAATGAGTGATTATTTCAAGAAACGGCTATCAAAAGGTTATACTAGCCCAGATGAAGTCATATTGTGTGCCGACAACAAAGTATGTACTGTCATCTTCTTTGTGCTCTTGTCCAGAGAGAGGAGGTTATGGGTATGTTTGCTCCCTTTGCTTATGTGTTAGTGCAAGCAATCACATTTCTTGAAACTCACTGGAAAGAATTGTGTGGCAATATCCGATCTGGTCATGTAAGCGAGTGGGTCACCGATCTCAGCTGTAGAAACTCGGTCTCTGCCATACTTGGAGGGCCAAATCTTGAACTAGCAGATCAGATTGAACGTGAATGCAGCCAGAGATCATGGGAAGGTATCATCACAAGGCTATGGCCCAACATCAAATTCATTAAATGCATAGTTACAGGACAAATGAGTCAATACATCCCAATCCTGGAGGTCTACTCAAACAAAGTGCGTCTCATCTCGCCGAGTTATATGTCTTCTGAAACAATTTTTGGGATAAATGTAAATCCTCTATGCAGACCACAAGATGTGTCTTATACATTTTTGCCCAACATGTCCTACTTCGAGTTCCAAGATGAAGGAAACGATGAAGAAATAGTTGATCTTGTTAACGTCAAGCTAGGGTGCTTCTATGAGCCCTTGGTCACAAATCATTATGGTGAGTTATATGTATGTTTAATGTATATATCATTATCTCAACTGTACACCAAACAAAACTAACCATTTTTAATCAAATCTTGTTGCTAGGGTTATACAGATATAGAATGGGAGATATTCTACAGGTGACTGGATTTTACAATAGAGCACCTCAGTTCAGATTTGTACGCAGGAAAAATATTGTTTTAAGCTTACAAGTGGAGGCAACAACTGAAGAAGATATATTAAAGGCGTTGAATAATGTGACAATCGTTCTTGAGTCTTCAGGTTTAATGTTGATGGGATTTACATGCTATTCTGATATCTCCAGTGCCCCAGGTCATTATGTTCTTTATTGGGAGCTTAAAGCCAGAAACTTTGATACCATTGTCAAGCTTGATAACAAGGTGATGGTGGAATGTTGCTGTGTAATGGAGGAATCCTTTAATGCTCTTTATCGAATATGTAGGAGAAGTTATGATGGAGACTCTATCGGAGCTCTAGAAATAAGGGTGGTGGAGCAAGGAACATTCGATTCTCTCATGGAATACTTCATCTCACAGGGTGCTTCTGCATCTCAATATAAGACTCCTATATGCATCAACTCGCCTGAAGCTTTAGCAATTCTTGAAAACAAACTTGTTACTCGGTTTTTCAGCGACAAAGCCCCATCTCTCTGACCAGAGAGATAAGGTCTATTTGGATCACGTTGACCCCCCACAAGAACTGGTGAGAGATTGGTTTATGATTTGTGGTTTTGTGTGCAAGTGTGCGTGTATTATGTTAAACTTTCGATCGTTTTGGTTGTTAAATAAATGAAGCATATTAAGACCTGATCTGTAACCTATTCTGTACAAATAAATGAAATCAAAGTGTTTTGTTCACTAGAGTTTTTGTCTATACAAATTAGGTCTATGTAAGCACTCTCATTTTATAGTACACAATATTGTATAAGTAACCAATTAAGGTTGGATTATGCATAGTTTATAAGGTGACCGGAGGGCAGTCCTTAAAGAAGTTTTATTAACTCGTTTGTAGATATTGTTCTCCAATTAAACTTCCTTTTTTCATTGTGATATTTTATACTTTTCGTTTCGTTTTGTTTCATCTTCCAAACTTCAATTCCATCTCTGCCGTCTCGCTTGTTGCCGCCGTCATTTCATATATAGTTGGAAATGTTTTTTTTTTTTTGCATTGTGGCGCTAGAAACTGACTTAAATAAATGAATGTTTTAGTTTTGCTAGGTGTAATTTCAACATGTGCATAGTACGTAACTACGTATCATATTTCAAAACGGTAAAAACTTAACGTATATAATGAAATGTATAAAACCTGGCTAGGGGAATTACATTTCCATTACATGAAAAAAATGGTAAATGATTCATTTTTTATTAGTACGTAGATAAATGAATAATGCATTGCTAGGTGTGTTTTGAACATGTGCATATATAGTACTTAATTACGTATCATGTTTCAAAACCGCCAAAACTTAAATGTACATATCTATACTATAAAGATGGTCAGCTCTCTCACCTTTTGGTTTAATGTGAAAATGATATTTGTCATTTTTTAAATTTAATAATACAAATTATATAAAATATAATTAATGCATAAATTAATGTATTATTAATCATAATACTAAAAGAATGAAGAATATGAAAAATATATACTATAAAGGATGACCAACTCTCTCCAGTTGAATGTCATTTCATCATTTTGGTTTAATTTTAAATTTAATGATACAAATTATATAAAATATAGTTAGTGCATAAATTCATGTATTATTAATCATAATACTAAAAGAATATGAAGTATTAGATAATATATTTTAACAACATTTTATACTTAATTTCCAAAATAATTATTGAATATATATTTTTTGGTAGTTTTTAAAATTATTAAAACAATTTATGTTTCTTATTTAAGAGTGTTTTCTTATTTCTTATCAATATCATAAGTTATTACTATAAAAAAATTATACAAATATAAAAATAACAATTATTTGATATTTTAAACTTTAAAAAGTTAGAATAAAAATTAATACAATATTATAACAAACTTTTAACTATTTTTTTTATAAACTAATAATTATTTGATAATTTATTAAATTCAAACTTGATCCATTAATAATTTTTAAATTATTAAGATATCAAAATCCTAATATATTTATTTATACAATAGAGCTGTATAAATTAGAATTATAAATCAATTATTTAAGTTGATAAAAAATATAATATATAATAAATAAAATATAAAATCAGTTTAACATCAATTTTTTACAAAACCAAAAACCTGCGCGTATGCGCGGATACTCTCTTAGTTCATCTAAAAGTAAATAACAGATCTTGTATCTTTGAGAAATTAAAGAGCAACAATAACAAAAAATATGGTTAGAGAGACACAGATCATATATATACGATGTGGCTCATTTCAGGATCATAAACTGTAAAATGCCAAAAGAAGAAGCGTCACACGAGTCAGAGCCAATTAATAGGTACAACTTATGCTGAGGAAACCTTATGGAAGGAGATTTGTGTGTGTCTGCCATCAGAAACTGTGTACAGTTTAGAAATTGACACATGGCACAACTAGAATCTTAGTGTTTGTGTACTGTAATGACTTTAATTAAGCATCCGAAAGAGAAACCTAACCAAACACAAACACCAAAAAGGTCGAAGACTTTGTAGAGATAAGACGATGACATTAGCAAAAAAGCGTTCGCGTTTACATAACGAAACTTGTCTTCTTCAGCGTAATTTCGATCTTTGATTAGTTAACTCAAGTATTGATTTCATATAGGAGAATATGTATACATGTGAAAACATTGTAGGTGACACAACACTCAAATAACAGTCCCAATTTTGTGTTAAAACCAACAAGATGTGACATGTTGACAAAGAAAAATATATAACAAGATGTGACAGAAAATTTGGAACACGAGTACACATCTCTTTTCTTTAGTCTGGACACATCAATGCACCAATTGATCCAATTTCCAATTCAAAACCAACTACATTTATTGTTTATAGTGGCTTCTCCAAAAACACATGCATCATTCACCTTCTCACAACAACCTAATGCAACTCGCTTTTCTATCACTCGACCACTAAAATATATTAACAAATCTACAAATAACCGGTGTTGTCTCGCAAAGCTAGAAATTTCTCAATTTATTGATACTTTTGCGTTGTGGGAATCTCTTGAACTTCAAATATCTAAATTTCTTGTAATTTTCATTTTCTTTGTGTCTATTATTGGTTTGGCATTGCTTTCTTCCTCTTCTCTTTCTATTTATTTATTAAGAGTTACATTACAATCATAAACAAAAGTATTGGTATAAAACGACATTAATTTGGTGAAACTATGGAAATTAAGTAGATCATTTCCTTCGGTCTCAATATAATTTGATTATTAGTATAAAGAGATGTTGTTTTGTTTAATGGAAGGAATTCTCTCGACATAAATTTAACTTTTAGTTGTCATTTATAATTTATTGTACCTTCGAGCTCTTGAGTCCAGCAAGCACAGCCACCACAATATGAACCCAAATATAAGAGGTTTTCAAAGGGTGTTCGTACAAAATTAGTTTCCAGACAAAGACAGGTTTTTAACTATGAGGACATGTATATTTAAAATATTATTAATATTTACAATTTTGTGTTAAAAATATTGAAATTCTGTTAGATGAGTTGGAAAAAGATATCAAATGCATCCATAATATCTCAAGTTCGATTCCCTCTGGAGCCTTCCTATTTATTTTCTATTGGTAGTGTATCCATTGAATAGTTCTTCTTCATACCACCGATTGTGGCAACGTCATGTCGTTGGAGAAGGGGTTAGAGGACTCGGCAAAGCAAACCCAACCCACAGCGTATATGAACCTTATTCTAATGATGCTAAATAACCAAATTTCCTATTTTTTTGAATATTTTAGATAATTTCTGGGTAGTTTGGAGTATCTCAAAACTATCTGAACCAGGGCGGAACCGATATGGATCCATGCAGAAACGATCCAAACCGATTAAAAAAAAACTCAAATGTATCTTAAATCCTGGAACCGAGATACTTAAAACCTGAAATAAAAAGATCTGAATCCAAGTGAATACTCGAATCACTCAGTGTTAAAGTTTACATCTAAAAGTTTTTATGAAAACTTTTCGTAAATAAATATTAATCCAAAATATTATATATAGTTGGAGTTATAAATATTTCATGGAAACTGATCTTCCCATAATATTAATACGAGATTAAAATTTTTGAATATTTAATTTTATTTATCAAATTCATACTTCTAAAAATAATGTATCATTTCTATATTTGTGTAGTAAAAAGAAAGAAGAAGCAAATGATAAAGTTGAAAGAATTAACAAGTACAGTAAAGTTTATATAAATAAATAATATTGAGATTTCTAAATTTTGTTATTTTATAAAGTTATTAGTTTATAAAGATATTTATCAGCTTAGATTCTTAATAATAATATAGATACAATAACAAATGCTTTTTGATGCTACAAATATATATAAGAGATGTCACATATAATTTTAATAGCTTATATGTGTACTGTATACACCATATTCATCTACGTAAAAATGTGAAAATTACAGAAATATTACCAAATATCAGGATTCTATAACATTACCAAATATTAATATTTCAGAAATAAATATTTCCTGATCAATTATTTGCAAACTGATTTTTGAAGATTTCTTAATGTGTCAACACACCATATTCATCTCCAAAAAATGTGAAAATTACAGAAATATTACCAAATAATAAGATTCCTTAACATTACAAAACATTAATATTTTAGAAATAAACAATTATAGAAATGATATATTCTCTAAATCTTTGTAAAAAAAGATACAATTGTTGATGTTACCTAAGCTTCATCTTTTTAAAAGGAATTTTAATATTTGATTATGTATTAATTCTCCAAATTTTCACCAGTTAACTGGACTGGACTTGCTATATTATAAATGTCTGGGTATATGACTAAAATTTTATAGTTGCAATTTCCAAACGAAGTTTGAAAATGAAGAACATTTCTCTTAAGATTTCACTCTTGATTTTCATTTTGGTCATCACATCTAGTAAGTATATTCTTTTTTAATTATTCATGTTTATATTTTTTTAAGTGATTTATAATTCTTAAAAGTATTTCTATTTATTTTAATTAAAAGAAATTGTATGCATTCGATATATAAATATATTTAGAATATAATTTCAGTTTAAAAACCAACTAATTATTGTCAAAACACGTTCAATCCAAATCTCTAAAGCATTCAATATATTTATTTTTTTGCAATTTTCTTTTTGAACAAAGTAGTCAATATTGCATCAAGTTCTCGTTTGAAATTTAATGGGATTGATTCATCTGAGCTGAAAAATATTTACCAACCAACCAAAAATTTGTTTTAGAAAAAATAGTTGCCTTGTTTTTCTTTTATAAAATATTTGTTCTTTAATTTCACAAGTATTATAAGAATCTTTTCTAACCGTTAAAATTTATCATGTTTATGTGAATAATGAAGAAGATCTTGGAGCAGAGTCAAGAGAGTTAAGTGGAATTGATGAGAAAGTTATCACCGGCCAAACTTATCATAAAGAAATACCTTGCAAGAAGGACTTCGATTGTATCTTTACATGTCCCAAGGATGGAATCTGCAATGTTGGTTTAGGCTATTGTTATTGTTACTAATTGTAAAGAAAAAATTATTGTTAGCTACACAGACTATTGCATTATGATATGTTTATCAATAAAACTTATCTATTAAATGTTCGGAGTTTAAACTCTTATTTATATGTCACGTTTACTACTCATAAACTTCATAAATTTTCAATATAAAAGCTTGATTCAGCCCTTTACATCAATCTCAAAATTTCAAGCTTATACTTGAGACCTCTATTTGACAACGATAATCTGGGCCATGTGCTATACTGAATTTTTTTTTCCAAATCTTATTCTATTATTATTGAATTTGAAAATTAGGATATGTTTACAAGAACTTAAAAATCTTTATGATCCTAATTAATATAGCAAAAAACAATTAACCAACGATGAAGAATTGAGTTCAATAAGCACAATAAAGACTTTAAAACTTTATGATCCTTAACGCCAGGCGTGGATTTATACATCGATGTTTCTTCAAATCCTGAGTTCTTAAACTCACCACGAAATTTTCTAGCATTTCGATTTTGATTCATTTTCTGCACCATATCAGTTTATGCTAGTACCATACCTCCTTTTTGCCAATTTCAACTATTTTCATGTTTGTCTCACAGACTTAATTCCACCATTCTGTCCTTTTAAATTTTTTGGAAACTTTCCGTTTATCAGTTAATTAAACACATGTATCAACAAATACCACCGAATATTCATTTTTTTATTCTGTTTACCTTAAAACTTCAACAAACGTCTTTTGAAATTTAAATGAATATATTTTACTACGAAACTAGCTAATAACCTGCACTATATGCAGGATGAAATAATAACTATTTATTTAAATTAGTAAAATTTTAAAATTATATAATATAATTAAATTTATTTGAATTTTATAAATATTATCCTGTAACATTGATAATATTCAAAAACTAAATATCATACATATCACGTAAGATATGGCTGGATAAAAATATGAAGTCGCCATATAAATTTTTTATATCACGTAATTGACAATATGATTCAACGTTTTCATCAAAGCTCAAGCTTTGGGTATACAATATTTATGTACATATTTATTTTCTTTTGATATATAAAAATGATTAAATATTATTAGTTAAATTTTTAGTTTATTATATATCGAATGAATTTAAGAAAGACTAATTATTATGTGTTTAATTTGGAAAAAAATAACAATAAACATAAATTAGTGTAAATAAATCTATTTGAAAAAAATAGTTTGACTCCAAAAATATTTAGTTAAGAAATAATGTCTAAGATATAATAATATTTTTTAATACATCTGTATATAAAAACATGTATTGGTCTTTAGGACCATTTGAATCTTACCAACTAACGTTAATTGTATGTTTATCTATTTATAAAATACAGTATTTATTAATAATGATTTTGTCAAATTTTAATAATCATAGGAAAATGTTTTCTAATTATTTTATAATTACATCAATCTGAATAATAGTACTTCCCAAATTTGAGGATCAAATTGAACTCGAGAACATCCTTGTAAATTAGAAATATATGTAAAACCACTTAATAAAAAATAAGACATATTATATAATAAAAGAAAAAATACATGACAAAATTAGAAATAATTTTTGTTATGTGAAAACAGAAATCACATATTTTCCATTCAATTCTCCTTAAGTTTTAGATAATACATCAGAACATTAGTATCAGTAAACTATCAATACTCATCTATCTCATCTAAAAGGTTTCCATATGCATCAAATTTTATATTATTTTGCATGTGAGTAATTGCAAAAATATTTTTTTGGCATCCAAATGCTCAAATGTTGCTTTTTTAAACACTTTTAAATCAGCATATAGATGTTGCATCTGGATACAAAATCAAGAAAAAATCTCAAAGCTCCTCTGGATCTGCCGCCGAGTAAACTTTCACTAGATATGCTTGGGGGGCTATTTTCCATCGAACCTCTCGACCCACCAGATCTGGCCGCCACCCATGGTCATACAACTTTCTCCGTTGCTGCCACTTTCAATCCACCAACTACACTCCTCGTTTGTCTTGGATCTCATATGGGAGTTTGATTTCCTTGTATCCTATGGGGACTCGTATTTGGAAAATAGGTGCCCCTTTTCTGCAATATGCAGTTCTGTAATCTCACCGCCTTCCCACCTCGAAAGCCCTGGTGCCGCCTCTCCATCTCCTCGCCTTGGTGCCTTACTGTCTCTCCCACTTCTCCAGATTTACTCCTACTCCTCGTCTTATGTTTCTCTAATTTTGGAACAACTTTTTGCAAGACAGGAATCGCTTGTTTTGTGGACTCTGAGTATTTTTCTGCCATTACCGAATGGTTCAATCCTCGTTATTTCTGTCTCAGTGCAGCTTTTTACTGCAGTATGCTGGGTTTGTCCTGTTTTTTATTTTGACGGATGTTTCAGTTTCTTTCTCTAAGTGAAAAATTATGAAGAAAGCTTGTGTTAGTAGCCCTCTTCCATTAAATCGCGTTTTGGACTTCAAAAGTCCTTATCTGTTTAGAACAAATGAGCATATAGATATTGCATCTGGATACAAAATCAAGAAAAAATCTAAAAAAACTGGATATTTGAGATGTTAAAAAAATTGAGTTTGGATGCAGCATTTGAATCTCAAAAACCAAAATATCATTTAATATGATATAAACAAAAAAATTAGGTTTTTTTGTCAAAACCAGAAGATCAGAATTTTCCATCAATGCATTTTTCTGTCAAAACTATAAAGTAACATTTTTGCTAAAAAACCAGAATTTCCTATTAAAAATATAGAATAATAGTTTCCACCAAAACCGAGATTTTTCTGTCAAACATAGAAAACTATATTTTCCCACTAAAATTGCAGATCTGCATTTTTCCGAAAAAATCTAAAGTCATGTTTTCCCAAAACACCATAAAACCATGTTTTGCAGCCAAGTTTCCAAAATCATGTGTTTCAGCAAAACCCGCAAAATTATATTTTCTGCAAAATCCGAATGTTTTCTCGTAAACCAGTAAAAAAAATTATGCATTATATTTTTAAAATATTTTTCAACTTTAAATTTTTTATTTTTAAACATTTGTGTAATAATATATATTTCGATATTTATCAAAATATTTTGCATGTATATTGTATATCATATGTTTATATAGAAATAATGTTAATATTTGAATAACATATATTTTTTATATTACATGTTAGTTTAACAAAAAATGTATAATGACATCATATAATTAGTTTATTACTATAATTTATTTCTTAAAAATAAAAATTTGGGAATTTATCAAATTATTTTGCATATAATATTGTATATCCTATATCTACATGGAAATGTTAATATTTGAATAAACTGTTTTTAATATTAAATTTTAATCTAACAAAAAATATATAATGGCATATCATGTAATTAGTGTAATAACATAAGTTTTGTGAAAAGCTCTATAGAATTGACACATCAGCAAAATTGCATCAATGTAAATATTTACAAAAATAAAATTAATAATTAAAAATACTTTTTAATTAATATATAGAGGATTCACAAAACATCACCAGAAAATAAATATACTACGGGTCAATATATCTACTTAACTTCATTTAATCATATATTCTTTAAATTTTGACTGGTATTGACTAAGAATACTTGATTTTATCTAAACTTCATATTATAAAAAAAAATTTTAATTATTCATTGTTAACCACTAATATTTGGTAATGTATTGATTCTCCAAATTTTGACCAGTATCAATACCAAGACTGGACTTGCCACACTACAAATATATGGGTATATGGCTAAATACTACGAAACAATAACAAACTTTCACAAAACTACAACTTTATAGTTGAAATCTCTAAACCAATTTTGAAAATGAAGAATGTTTCTCTCAAGCTTCCATTCTTGCTTTTTATATTGGTCATCACATCTAGTAAATATTTGTAACTATTCATAAATATTTTTTATAAAGTGCTTCAAAAAAAGTGTCATCATATCATTACATAATAGTATTTCTATTTATTTTTGGCAAAAGAAATTGAAAACATTCAATATATAAATATATAAAGAACATAATTTCAGTTTAAAATCTTACTAATAATTACTGTCAAATCATACTCAATCCAAATCCTTAAAACATTCAATATGTTATTTTTGGCAACTTTATTTGTGGACATAAAAGTCAATACTGAGTAGAGCTCTTGTTAGAATTTTAATGGGCTTGTATCATTCGAGTTGAAAAACATTTACAAACCAACAACATTTTGTTTTAGAACAAACAATTGCCTTGTTTATAAACATTTGTTCTTTTAACTACACAAGTATTGCAAGATATTCTTTTCTAACCATTAAAGCCATCATGTTTGTGTGAATGATGGAGAAGATCTTGGAGCAGAGTCAAGAAAGCTAAATGGAATTAATGAGATCGAAGTTATCACCGCCAAGACTTCGGATAAGGCTCATCCACCTTGCGATAATGACTTTGATTGCCTCTTTAGATGTCCCATGAGTGGAATCTGCGATCTTAAATTACACACATGTATATGTGACTCATTATAAAGAACCATTGTTTATCAATAAAACATTAAACTCTCGTTTGTATTTCAAGATTAATACTCATTAATTTAATAAAAGTTCTATCTAAAAGCTTGAGTCAGCCAAAAAGAAAGCAACAAACCAGTTTACATCAATTTCAAAGTCTACACACTTGAGACCTCTCTATAATCTTGATTCCGAGAAGACGGTGACTTCTCATAATTCTCCACAATCATCATTTCTTATAACAACAATGGTTCATACAGACCCGGCTCATCAAAAAATATTTAGGCCATGTGCTATATTGATTTTTTCCCACTCAAAATTTTGTTCTATATACTATTGAATTTGAATATTAGGATCTGTTTTGCAAGAACTTACAAAAGTTAGGATTCTAAAATAGCAAATAAAATTTAGTTCATGTTATAGAATTCGATACATTTGCAACAGTCAGAACAGCTTCGACGTCGGGGATTCAAGCATTGATGCATTTTGACTTTGATTTATTTATTTTGTTCTATATCAGTTTGCGCAAGTACAATAATTTATTTTGATCAGTCATTAGGTAATAACACGCATCATATGCAGAATAAAATAATTATTATTTATTTATATTTAGTATGATTTTAAAATCATATAATATACTAAAATATAATTAAATTTATATGAATTTCATATAATAGTATATCATAACATTGACAATATATTTTTTTATGAATTAAAGAGTAATTTAATTATTATATAAATTAATTTAGAAATTAAATATTATGCATAGCACATTATATAGCTGGAATATTGGTGGGGGTTTGGCTTAAATGTGGAATAATTCAGTTTCTGTGTATTTTAATTTCGTTGATGAACGACTCATTGATTGTAAGATCAGTAATAAAGATGATTTCTATTACTTCTCTTGTGTCTATGGGAATCCTATTCGTCAACTTCGTCATCACTTATGGGAACGTTTAGAAAGGATCTCTGCAACTCGGTTGAGTCTTTGGTTAATGTGTGGTGATTTCAGTGAGATACTCAATGCAAATGAAACTAAAGGTGGTCGACCAAGAGATGAATGGAGTTTTGCAAATTTTCGGAATACGGTGAATAACTGTAATGTTGCGGACTTGCCTTATTCCGGCAATAATATGACTTGGATTGGCAAAAAAAGAAACTTAATTGTTAAGAGTTGGCTAGATAGAGCGTTTGCAAATGATGAATGACGAGCAAAGTTTCCTGCTTTGCAAGTTGAATATCTGGAATTAATTGAATCTGATCATCGCCCAAGAATCATTAAGATACAAAGTGAGTCTGATCATGGTCGAAAGTCCTTTTTTCTTTGATAGCAGATTCTGTAAAAAGGAATGATTTGAGCAAGTTGTACGTGATGGATAGAATTGTAATACATCTTGCACTTCTGGTTTTCTCACAGATCGGATTCACAATTGTCGTCGATCAATATCTGAATGGAAACGCTCAATTCCGTCAAACTCTGCCAGAAGAATAAAAGCATTGATCTCTACGATTAACTCGGCACATTCGGACTCGTCTGTTTCAACTGAAACAATCTGTGATTTACGCTCACAGTTATTGCAAGCGTATCAAGATGAAGAATCCTTTTGGCATTTAAAGAGTAGGAATAATGGCTGACTAAAGGTGATCGCAACACTGGGTTCTACCATGCCACTATGAAGAATCGACGGGTCAAGAACAAAATCCTTTCAATCAAGGATTCTCAAGGGAATGATATTCGTGAAAACAGAGCAATTGCTACAGAGGCAGAGCGTTTTTTCTCGGAGCTTTTCCAAACCTCGATGAATGAAAACACTATATCACGAGCTCTCCAAGATGTACGCTCAGTAGTTACTGATGATATGAACACCATCCTTACAAAACAAGTCACAATCCTGAAGATTAAGAAGGCTCTGTTTTCTATTGGCTCATCACGGGCACCTGGTCCTGATGGCTTTACGGCAAAATTTTACCACCAATATTAGGATATCATTGGTCTTTCTATTGTTGCCTCTGTAAGGCTATTTTTTGAGACAGGAATGATGGAACCAGAGTTGAATCATACAAACATCTGTATTATCCCTAAAATTACACCACCAACAACATTGAAAGACTTCAGACCGATTGCTCCCTGTAATGTAGCTTACAAAATCATCTCCAAAATTTTGGTGTTGTGGTTAAAATCCATCTTGTCTCAAGTGGTGTCAGAAAATCAAGCAGCTTTTATTATGGGGAGACATATCACGGATAATGTCCTTCTTGCTCATGAAACTCTACACTCTCTATGTGTCCGCAAAAGATGCGCTAACTCTTATATGGCTGTTAAAACAGATATCAGTAAAGCTTACGATCATATCGAATGGAAGTTTTTCGAAGAAGTTCTTCGACGCAAAGGCTTCTCAGAGGTATGGATACAATGGGTAATGGCCTGTGTCAATACAGTATCTTTTTCAGTGTTACTTAATGGAAGCCCATACGGGAGATTCTCACCACAACGTGGTCTACGACAAGGTGACCCTCTTTCCCCATATCTCTTCATACTATGTGCAGATGTTTTAAGTTCCCTAATGGAAGATGCTACTCATAACCGTGAGATCCAACCTATCCGCTTGAGTATTGGCGGACCTCCTATTTCTCATCTTTTGTTTGCGGATGACTCCTTGTTTTTTGTGAAAGCAGACTACGTAAATAGCAACAATCTGGCTAAATTTGTTTGATATGTATGGCAAAGCTTCAGGTCAAATCATAAATTTTGAAAAGTCAGCAATTACTTTTGGTTCAAAGGTCTACCATCATTTGCGAGAAGGTATCAAGACCATCCTCAAGATTCCAAATATTGGAGGTGGGGGAAAATATATTGGATTACTAGAACAGTTTGGACGAAAAAAGAAGGAAATGTTTAGATACATCAAAGAGAATGTAACGCAAAATATATCGGGGTGGCAAACAAGATTTCTCTCAACTGCAGGGAAGGAAACTCTTCTCAAATCAGTTGGTTATGCAAAGCCAGTTTATTCGATGAATTATTTTGAATTGCCAATGAAGTTATGCCGCAAATTAGATAGTCTTATGTCAAGATTTTGGTGGGGAAGCTCACAGGACAAGCGGAAAATGTCATGGGTCTCTTTGAAGAAATTAGCAACTTCAAAATCAACTGGGGGACTGGGGTTTCGTGATTTACATAAATTTAACCAATCTTTGCTCAGTAACCAGGTATGAAAAATATTGCAACGACCTCACTCCCTTCTACATAAGGTGTTAAAAGGACACTATTTTCGGTATGGGTCTATTCTCACAGCTTCAAAAAGAACACAACCTTCTTTCAGATGGAAATCTATATTATTTGGACGTAAATTATTACTGCAAGGTCTACAGCATCAAATTGGGGATGGTACGACTGTCAAACTTTGTGATAGTTGGTTACCAACATCTCCCCCACGACCACCAGAACTTCTACCATATACAAATCCCTTACTTCCAGTTCAGATTCTTATGGATCAGCATACGAGACAGTGGGATGAGGACATGCTTACAGATCTGATTGCCCAAGAGGATCATCATCTTATTCGCAAGATATTTATTTCTCCTTCGGAGACACAGGATACGATGTTCTGGAGATACACGAAATATGGAATCTACTCTATTAAGACATGATACCATTTAGCTGTTGGTAACTCCGTTACAACTCCACAAGCCCCTTTAGCAGTTAATCCAGATTTGGCCAAAACAATCTGGAAAGTCGAAATACCAGGGAAGATAAAAACACTTTTTGTGGTGGGTTTGCTCTAAGGCTATTGGTACTAAAGATAACCTTGACCGACGACACATTCCTGTTGATCTAAAATGCACACGATGCAGTTATAGCGAAAAAGAAGATAGTGATCATCTTTTCTTTACCTGCTCTTATGCGGTGACACTGTGGCGATTATCAAATATTCCCTTACAACCTCTTATGGCCCCAAACACATCAGTCGATGAGAAGATTTCCTTCTTACTCTCCCTGCATTCTAATAATCAGCTCCCAAGTGGATTACGGCTTCTCCCTTTTTGGATATATGGCAACTTTGAAAAAGCAGAAATGACTTACTCTTTAATCGTCATAATATCGACGTCGAAGATCTGTTAATTCGTGCTACAGAGAACGTTCAAGAATGGAGTATAGCACATAATATCACGGACAATGTGCTAAATCAGCATTCTACTAGAGCCTCAACGTCTGGATCCTCATGGACTACTCCTCCACCAGGTTGGACCAAATGTAACTATGATGCCTCGCATCATACTGGAAATACTTGCTCGGTTTAGGATGGATTTTACGGAACGACTATGCAATGTTTTTAGAAGGAGGGATGGGAAAATTCAAAGGCCGTTCCACTCCTGAGGAGGCCGAGTGTTCCGCCTTAATTTGGGCACTGCAATCATGTTTGGGTTTGGGATACTCTAAGGTGGTGTTTGAAGGCGATAACCTTAATGTCGTACGCCTACTCAATGGTGAGATGTGCAATTTAAAGCTTCAGCATTATGTAACAACAATACAAGGACTAGAAAAAATGTATAACGGGGTTGAATTCGTACATCGCCACCGGTCATTGAATTAGTGTGCTGATCTACTGGCAAAATCTGGAGTAACATCGACATATGCATGGAGTTTATATCATAATTGTCCACATTTCCTTCAAAATTTTGTACTAAACGATTGTAACCATTTTTAACAATAAATATTAAAGACGACAAAAAAGCACATTAAATAGCTGGATAGAAATATGAAGTCGCTATAGAGATTTTCTATATTCCGTAATTGATGATATGATGCAACATTTTCACCAATATTTAAGATTTGGATATATAATATTTATATATATTTAATTACTTTTGATTTTTAAGTAATAATTAAATATTATTATTTAAATAGTTTGTTACTGATAGCTTGCTATTTTAAAGCATTTTAGGCTGTATTTCATGCATCTTTTCCTTTGTTTTTGCATTATAGTTTAACATTTTAGTATCATTTGCACTTAAAATTAGTATGACATGCATTTAGCTTAGGATTGCATA